CATGAAATCCCACATTGAAATTATTTCTCATATAGCTGATTACTTTAAATGATGAAAGTACAACTACTATCATTTATCAGGGTTTTACTACAGTTGAAATTCAGAATGGATTTAAAGTGAATTCAAGTCTTAACTAGAAAATATATCTCTAGATAAGCTATGCTCCCAATTCAGCTACTTTGGCCTCAAATTTAAAATTCACTTTGAATTTTCATTGTATTAAATATGTTTGAATATGAAAAAAATATGGTTTAGATTAAAATATGTTATTAAACATATGGAAAAATATTTAGTTTTTCATTTTTAAAACCAATTCTATGTGTTTAGCAAAGAATATGGACATGTAGGAAAGTTCATTTTCATAGAATTATCCTGTGTAAAATAATGTGGAAATAGGCAAAAGGATAACCTAGTCAATCATCAAAGTTAAGAAGGTCCACTGAAATTCTCTTCTTTGTCATTTACAGCATTTGACCATTTGAAAAACTGAAAATGGTGTTATTAACTATACACTGAATATAAAGATCTGAAATCCAAATTGGAAAATGTAGATTAAAAAGCAAACCTGTGACTATAGATAATGTAAGTGAGCTAATTTGTCCTTAAAGGGACACTATAGTCACCAAAACAACTTTAACTTAATGAAGCAGTGTTTGTATATAGATCATGCCTCTGAAGTATCTCTGCTCAATACACTGCCATGTAGGAGTTAAACCACCTTTGTTTCTGTTTATGCAGTCCTAGTCACACCTACTCTGGCTGTGATTGACACAGCCTACATGGAAAGAAAAAGGATTTCATTTTCAATCAGATGTATATTACTAAAGGTTTTTAACTCCTGCCCTGTGATTTGAACTTTAACCCCATTAAAGGACCACTATAGTGCCAGGAAAACATACTCGTTTTCCTGGCACTATAGTGCCCTGAGGGTGTCCCCACCCTCAGGGTCCCCCTCCCGCCGGGCTCTAGTGGGTGGAAAGGGTTAAACTTACCTCTTTCTCCAGCGCCGGGCAGGGAGCTCTCCTCCTCTTCTCCGCCTCCTCGGCTGAATGCGCATGTTTATAGAAAAAAGGGTTAATCCTGGCTGGACCTGGCACCCAGACCACTTTATTAAGCTGAAGTGGTTTGGGTGCCTATAGTGATCCTTTAAGGACTGAGCCAAATGCACACATTGTGATCAAAACAAAACCTGGAATTTGACTATATATCTGTTCAACCGTAATTCACCTCTTTCATATTAAATGCACCCACACTTGTTATATATAATTTTATTCAGGGTAAACAGGGCTTTCATTTAACATCAAACATTTAGCTATTGAACATATTTTACTATGAATAAAATGTTGAAAAAAATTAGAGAAAACAAGAAATTGTGTTATTTGTTTAGTTCTACATGACATTTTAACTGTGAATGTCATAATATTGTTTGCTTTTACTGCAATAAAATACACACATTTGTATTCAGAGATGCCTCATGTGTAAAACAGTACCCCCTATGTACAGTTTTTTGGGGAAGTTACAGGGTCAAATATAGCATATTACATTTTTCAGTTTTTTCACATTGAAATTCACCAGGTTGGTTACGTTGCCTTTGAGACCGCATGGTAGCCCAGGAATAAGAATTACCCCCATGATGGCATACCATTCACAATAGTAGACAACCCAAGGTATTGCAAATGGGGTATGTCCAGTCTTTCTTAGTAGCCACTTGGTCACAAACACTGGGCAAAGTTAGCGTTAATATTTGTTTGTTTGTGAAAAATGCAAAAAAACTAATTTGAACGCCAATTTGAACGCAAGTCATATATTAAAATCTGTAACTTTTGAAAACACCATAAAACCTGTATATTAGGGGTACGGTTATACTCGGGAGACTTTGCTGAATTTCATTTTCACTGACGATATCATCGTTGTAATACAGGGAGTGCAGAATTATTAGGCAAGTTGTATTTTTGAGGATTAATTTTATTATTGAACAACAACCGTGTTCTCAATGAACCCAAAAAACTCATTAATATCAAAGCTGAATATTTTTGGAAGTAGTTTTTAGTTTGTTTTTAGTTATAGCTATGTTAGGGGGATATCTGTGTGTGCAGGTGACTATTACTGTGCATAATTATTAGGCAACTTAACAAAAAACAAATATATACCCATTTCAATTATTTATTATTACCAGTGAAACCAATATAACATCTCAACATTCACAAATATACATTTCTGACATTCAAAAACAAAACAAAAACAAATCAGTGACCAATATAGCCACCTTTCTTTGCAAGGACACTCAAAAGCCTGCCATCCATGGATTCTGTCAGTGTTTTGATCTGTTCACCATCAACATTGCGTGCAGCAGCAACCACAGCCTCCCAGACACTGTTCAGAGAGGTGTACTGTTTTCCCTCCTTGTAAATCTCACATTTGATGATGGACCACAGGTTCTCAATGGGGTTCAGATCAGGTGAACAAGGAGGCCATGTCATTAGATTTTCTTCTTTTATACCCTTTCTTGCCAGCCACGCTGTGGAGTACTTGGACGCGTGTGATGGAGCATTGTCCTGCATGAAAATCATGTTTTTCTTGAAGGATGCAGACTTCTTCCTGTACCACTGCTTGAAGAAGGTGTCTTCCAGGAACTGGCAGTAGGACTGGGAGTTGAGCTTGACTCCATCCTCAACCCGAAAAGGCCCCACAAGCTCATCTTTGATGATACCAGCCCAAACCAGTACTCCACCTCCACCTTGCTGGCGTCTGAGTCGGACTGGAGCTCTCTGCCCTTTACCAATCCAGCCACGGGCCCATCCATCTGGCCCATCAAGACTCACTCTCATTTCATCAGTCCATGAAACCTTAGAAAAATCAGTCTTGAGATATTTCTTACCTTGGCCATGTCTCTGAGTATTGCACACCTTGTGCTTTTGGGCACTCCAGTGATGTTGCAGCTCTGAAATATGGCCAAACTGGTGGCAAGTGGCATCGTGGCAGCTGCACGCTTGACTTTTCTCAGTTCATGGGCAGTTATTTTGCGCCTTGGTTTTTCCACACGCTTCTTGCGACCCTGTTGACTATTTTGAATGAAACGCTTGATTGTTCGATGATCACGCTTCAGAAGCTTTGCAATTTTAAGAGTGCTGCATCCCTCTGCAAGATATCTCACTATTTTTGACTTTTCTGAGCCTGTCAAGTCCTTCTTTTGACCCATTTTGCCAAAGGAAAGGAAGTTGCCTAATAATTATGCACACCTGATATAGGGTGTTGATGTCATTAGACCACACCCCTTCTCATTACAGAGATGCACATCACCTAATATGCTTAATTGGTAGTAGGCTTTTCGAGCCTATACAGCTTGGAGTAAGACAACATGCATAAAGAGGATGATGTGGTCAAAATACTCATTTGCCTAATAATTCTGCACTCCCTGTACATATTACTGTTTTGAAACACTAATATTTGTGTTCAGTTAAGTCTCCTGAGTAAAACAGAACCCCCCATGTTACAGGGTTAAATATAGTCCTAGCAAATGAAATTTCCTGGACTTTCAGCCTGGTTGTCAGGCAGGTCCCGCAAATTGTAATTAATAAAATGACCTAATTATGTAAAAATATTACATAAATATATACGTAGAATTAATATATATACGTATGCATATATATAATTTTTTTTAATTATTTTTATTTATATATAGGTATATATATATTAATATATACGTATATACTTATGTATATAGATTTATATATTATTTTGCTCTACATGAATTTTAATATCTATCTATATATATATATATATATATATATATTAATATCAAAATACAGTTTGAACAAAATTACACACACACACACACACATATATTCATTTTTATTTTTTTACATATTTCAATATTTATTTTATATTATATAATTATAATTATATATATTTAATCAATATCATTCTACGTGTATTTTGATATTATTTTATATATATATATATATATATATATATATAAAACTATATATATATATATATATTAATATTAAAATACACTTATACAGTGTATGTATATGTGTATTTATATACTTAGATCATATATTATATATATATATATATATATATATATATATACACACACACACACACTGTATATGATATAAGTATATATTATTGAATTAAAAACGTTTTTTTAAACTTTATTTTACTTTTTACAGACAGCAGGGGGACTACCTGTCATTCCAGACACTCCCCCTGCTGGCAATGCTGTGGACGGCTATTCCGTCCATGTGATCGTGAGGTCACATGGCCCAGGAGGGTCGGAATGGCAGCAGGGGGACTCCCTGGGATGGCAGGTAAGTCCCCCCATCACGATCGCCGGCGAGCGGGTAAGTACATAGGACAGCATGGACGTGCTATGCCGCTCGCCTGCATTTATAGCCAGGTCCCCAAGGACGGCATAGCACGCCCACCATCCTTAAGGGATTCATCACTTACAGGAGGCTCCTGCAAGGTTTAGAAAGCTATTAACAGAGCAGGAGATAAGTAATTATAAATTAAACAGAATTTGCAATAAATCAAGTATAAACATTAGATGACTCTTTACAGGAAGTGTTTAGGCAGGTTGTGTTAGTAACATGCAGGGAGGTATGATTAGGGCTGCATAAACAAAGTTACTTAACTCCTAAATGGCAGATAATTGAGCAGTGAAACGTCAGAGGCATGATCTATAGCCAAAAACTACTGCATTAAGCTAAAGTTGTTTTAGTGACTATAGTGTCCCTTTAATGTTTGCATACTTTTCAGCTTACAATTAAATAGTTAGTAAGTAAACCCCTAAATGTTTACGTCTTCTACAGTAACTACCTGCAACAATAAGTGATACATTCAAGAGGCATTCATCTTAATACAATTTTGATCTTGCTCTCAGATGTACTGTATAAAATGTTTATTCAATTAAATATGTAAATAGACTTGCAAATGTTTATTGCACCTGCTCTATCCAGCTGTTAGCATCAGTGATTAACTAACAAGTTCATATAACAACAACATACAGCTTATTCACTCGCACTATTGCATTAGGAACAAAATAACGTTAAAGTTCAAGTTAATAATTTCACCTGGCACATGTATAATCATGAAACATACTGCGTAATATTGTCTACATATTGTATGGAATCTATCATGTAAATGTTTCCTGACCATTAACCTTTCCATGTTGAATATCCTTCTGGCACACGGATGGATTTACATCTAACTAGACCCCATAAAATTAAATAGCTATTTCTTGATTTTGGAATACATTTACTTATTAGTATAGTGATACCCCTTCTCATTAGTAATTTAGAATAAAAGTTAAGTGATAAAAGTAGTGTTTCAAATCTTGTCTGTTTCAAGTGAACCATTACACAGACTTAAACAGCAGACTGAAATTATATGGTGAAGGGGATACACCAGTAGTACACCTTAGATTGTGTTTACACACCTTGCTGCTATTTCTTTGATTGTAGACTTAAAAGTTAGCAGACTACAGCAAAACTGAAGTAAGCAACAATCCTTAACAATATTGATTTGTCAAAATTGCTTAAAATCAGTATAAACAGACACGGCATTGAAACTGCCATCAGGCAAACAGTCAAGAATAAAGAAAAATGAACAAGTTTGAATTGGGATAAAATTAGGATTGCCTTTCCTTTCTTGATTCAAGGTGGCATGTGGAAAAACAATTAAATTCACAACGCAAAATCCAGGTGTTCACAGTATTTAAAGGAACAGTAAGGTATATTCCTAACGCATTAGTGTCCCTGTCCCTACGTCCCTAGGACCTGAAGTGTTTGACTCAATGTTTTCCTAAAAAAAACAGCAATGTTTTACATTGCAGGGTTAAACCTACTTGACCACAGCACCCAGGCAACTATTTTGAGATGATTCTTTAACAATACTGTGATACAATATTGAATGTAATGATTTCATGAGCCAGAATCTGAAACAAACAGATGACTCTTACCATTAGCATATCCAGAAGGGAGTCGTTTTACATACGTATCATGAGATGGTATAGAAGCCCCATGCAACTGCACAGGTTTTGACCCACACTCAGTGTGGAGGTGTGGAGAGGAGCAGGGGACCATGGAGCATGTAGGTTGTTCTGCATACTAATTAGGCCTTACTGTAAACAGATAATACTGGCCATAGCTAGAATACTTCCATTGGAAAACAAATTGACACCATCCCAAGTAATATTAGGATGGCCTGGTTCATTTCAGAACCGCCACAACCAAAAACTATTGAGTCTACTTCTAGAAGTAGTCAACGCATTAATCCCAATTTACTGGCATCAAACACAAGTTCCTACAAAGGAACAATGGCTGCAGACAGTAGAAGCTATGAGGGAATTGGAAGAACTGCACTGGTCGGTAGAAGGTAAACGGAAAGCTTACATGCGAACCTTGGTTAGAACACTGGAGGAGAAAGATATTTGACAATAACACTGTTAGTAGATTTTTCCCTTTTTCCATTCGGGAGTTATTATATACGAATGCCATCTATTCATCTCCTGAATGAGGACAACCCTGGTACCCCATTAGAACGTTCACACCCCTGGGTGGCTGCCATTTCGAATAACCAAATGCACATGGTCGACAAAAGAATGGCGGCCATCTTGTCTCCCAAACATGGGCAGTGGCACTTGGTCATCGAGTGCCTGGAACTCTTTTCGATTAGGCACTCGCATGAACCCCGGTAAAGATTAGACTGCTGCCAATTCTATTTCCTGAGCACCTATACGAATGACGTTTGGGAGATATGAACTACCGAACAGGGGCAGCATTTGTACCCTGAAACTAAGAGATTCCCTTTTGCATGGTGTTTGCACGGAAAACCCTGAACAGGTCAAAACTTTACCCTGGTGGCATTCCAGTTTCACCGAGTGATCTTTTGTTATCTTATACACTCAGATCAGTGTTATCCAGGATGGTGGGGATACTTTTGGGGTACTGTGTATTATGTATGGATTTTCTGTACCTGAGTGATAATTGAATTATATGTTTTTCTCACGCAATTATCTTTCAGGCACAAAGGATCGTAGGATTGAAACACCTGTTTTATTGTATTGGATAACCCATGTAGGGGTTTGTGCATAAAAGCCATGTGTGGCCAGAAAAAAATCAGTTCACTCCCAGAACTATGTTTCATCTGGTTACTGGGGGAATGGATGTCTGTGTATTCTAATGGTTCCAGAGTGGCTGAAGGAAGGATTTAGTGGAGGTAACTAGTAATACCTTCGTATTGTCTTGTCTTTAGGGTTGTCATTGAGTAAAAGCATTGTGCCTGGAGTTAGACCTCTTTAAAGTGGTTGTTTTCCAAATGGATGGATCTATAGGTTTAAAGTGTTAAAAAGGGTATGAACTACATTGAGTCAAGGATTGAGTATATCAGGTTAAATAGGTGGAGCCTAATATTAGGGGCAGAGTAAATTCTAGCTTTATAGTCTAGTGCCCCACCATGTTTAAAAGTCACCAGCTGCCTATGGGAGCAACATATCTAGAGAAACCGTTATTGATCAGTATGGTCAGTATAATCCCCTATGACATGTAAGGGCAATTGAAGAAAGCAAACAGAATCACTTACTTATATATATCATAGTAAAAATAAGAGAGGAGAAGAAGAATTAATGTGAATCAGTTGCAAAAGTTAATACTATGAATTTAACAAAATAAAGGGAATAATGTGAAACAATTACCCATGTCTAATCATGGCAATGATGGCAAAATGATGGTATAAATACTGAAATGGTATACTTCAATGTTTTAATTTAAAAAACACTGCAAGTCCCTCCAAGTAATAAGAAACAGAAAATATGTAAGCATGTTTATAGCAATAACGTTCATTGGGTGAAGGTTGGTACACTAAGGGTAGAAGAGGGCAATTCTATCCAAGCACATGGAAGTAATGATGATGTTCCAGAAGTGATGCATCCAAAGAGGCATGATGAGAGAAGAGCCCAGGAAGGACCATTGGCTTAATGAACCTCTGGCAGCAAATTAAACCTTAATAGTATCTTTGTATTGGTGGCTTGTTCGGAGCCTGAAGCAGACATCTGAATTATAGCGATAATGAAGCCTTTTTAGATTTTAATTTAGGTACATGAAGGACTGTAAATTTTTCAGGTCTCTCAAACTGCCATGGACTTGTCACCAAATTTCTGCTTATCTCCCTCAGATCTGGAAAAAGGCCATTAGAAATAACACACACAGGACATCACAATGTATTTCAATCAAGCCTTTCATTTTTTCCTTCACAGCATGAATCAAGACACCATGTTGCTGTTCTATCCATGTGTTTCAAGTGACTATAATGTGGAGTTTCTCTCAGTTTAGTTATTGATCAGTAAGGCCAGTATAATCCCCAGCAGCTCGAAGTGAGGACATAGAACTGGATTGCAGGTGTAATTAGTTTTAAATAATTGACCACATTAGAAGAGTGAACATCTCTCTTTCTACTTAACCCCCACATCATTGTCCAACTCCAAACTATGACAAAGACCAGCTCTCCTTCTCATAAGCACTGCTCAGAGAGTTGTGAGCGGTAAAGCCCCAAATATGTGGCTCTTTAGCCCCAGATCTCTACAGTGGTTGGTTTGAATCCCCAGGTGTTTCAGTAATTTAGCAATGCCCCTGTTTCCTCCCCAAACAGCACACCATACTATTATTTTGGAGCAATCTACGATATGTTGCAATAAAATTTAAATTTTCTAACTTTCCAAGCAGATTTACTAAAATGGTACACAGTCCCACCTCTGTAAATTATCCCCCATGCTTCAGCAGTAAAGAAGGCAGTGTCACTTGGGTCATTAATTGCTCAATAAAGTTCAAGAAATATATATATAACAGAAAAATAGTCTTGCACTCCACTTACTGGTGTCTCTGCCCGGTGCTTATCGGCATAGTATGACAAATTGCGTAGAGATAGCACTCCCAGGACTCCAAAGGTGTAAAAATAAAATTTAACTTTGATTTTCCAAATTTAAAAGATCAACGTTTCAGTTTGTCACCCAAACTTTCATCAGGATGAAATAACATCTTAAAAGACAATCATATATACCCACCACCAATGTACACTTACCCAATAAGTGCAGAGATACTGTCTGGGAGAGACTTTGAGCCAGAATGCATAAAAGTGTGACCTCAATTACGTCACTTCTGGTCTGATGTCGTTGCTATGGCAGCTGGATGCCCAGAATTAGCTGTGCTTAGAAACAACAATGTAAAGTAGACAAATACTGATAATGAACAGCCAGTCCCCCAGAGAGTATCAATAAAGTGTAAAAACAACAGCTGAGTGGGCAGAGGGAGCAGAGACTTAAGAGAACAAGTGAATAAACTAATAAAACATAAATGACAATACTATGTAATTGCATCCAGGAGTACAGTTGCTGGCATAAATGCATAATATAGAAAATTCAATTTACAGCATCCAATAAGGTAAAGCTGCTAAAAATGAACTAATGTAGTAACAACTTAAAGAGACAGGCTGCAAAAAATCACTTGCCTGCTGATTTTGGCGCCAGTAGTGGGTGTCTATAATTCCAAAAAAAAGGCTTACAACAACACATTAGATGTCTTCCCTAAACTAAAAATAACAAGTGAAAATTAACTTAGATCGGACATTCTTATTACCTATTAGATTCAAAGTCTGACGCCGGTAGCGGCAGGGCCGGGAAATTTCCTGGTGGGCCGCGGCACATGGGGGCTGCGCTGCCACATAGGTGGCACATTGAGAGGGGGCCAGCCGCGTTCCAGACTGGAGCCGCCAGGCCGGGTGGCAGCTTCGCCGGTTTGGCGGCACTCCAGTCACTGATGGTTGAAGGAGGAGGAGCCGGTCTACCATGCTCCCACCGCAAGGGAGCATGGTAGACCGGCTCCTCCTCCTTCAACCATCAGTGACACCAGTGACTGGAGTGCCGCCGGACTGGCGAAGCTGCCACCCGGCCCGTCGGCTCCAGTCTGGAACGCGGCCGGCCCCCTCTCAATGTGCCACCTATGTGGCAGCGCAGCCCCCATGTGCCGCGGCCCACCAGGAAATTTCCCGGTATCCCGGTGGACCGGTCCGGCCCTGCCGCTACCGGCGTCGGTCTTTGAATCTAATAGGTAATAAGAATGTCCGATCTAAGTTAATTTTCACTTGTTATTTTTAGTTTATTTAAAGGGAAGACATCTAATGTGTTGTTGTAAGCCTTTTTTTTGGAATTTTAGACACCCACTA